TAATCACTTGTAGAAAACTAAAGCTAGATCCTTATATATCACCCTGCACCAGAATCAACTCCAAATGGATCAAAGACCTCAGAGTCAAAGCAGACACTCTGAAAACATGACAGGATGGAATAGGAGAAACCCTAGGTCTCCTTGGCACAGGCCCACATTTTCTTAATAGAGACTCAGAAATACAACAAATCAAAGAAAGGTCGGACCAATGGGATTGCATGAAACTGCAGAGTTTCTGCGTGGCAAAGAACATAGCAAGCAAGATCAATAGAAAGCCCATGGATTGGGAGAAAATCTTCACTAGCCATACAGTGAACAAGGGTCTCATATCTAAAATATACTTAGATCTTAAAATATTAAATCCCCCAACAACAAATCACAAAGGAACAACCACCTGTTTGATAAGTGGGCTACAGACCTAAAGAGAGACTTTTGGGAAGGGATGGGAAAGGGAAACAAAGAGGAGGCAACAATGCTTGATAAGAAATGTACTTGTTATCTTGCCCATGTAATTGTAACTCCTCTGTATGGTATTCTCACAATAAAAAAAAAAGAATGGCCAATAGACACATGAAGAAATGCTCAACTTCTCTAGCCATAAAAGAAATGCAAATCAAAACAACATTGAGATTCCACCTCACCCCAGTTAGTATGGCTATGTTCAAGAAATTGAATAACAACAGATGCTGGAGGGGATGTGGCCAGAAGGGACCCCTACTGCATTGTTGGTAGGAGTGTAAACTTGTTCAACCACTTTGGAAAGTAGTATGGAGGTTCCTCAAAAGACTCCACATAGAGCTCCCCTGTGACCAAGCAATCCCACTTTGGGGCATTTACCCAAACGATAACAAACAAGGCCATACTAAAGCTACCAGTACAACTATGTTTATCGCAGTATTATTCACCATAGCTAACATATGAAGCCAACCTATATGCCACTCAGTAGAGGAATCAAGAAAATGTGATATATAAAAATATATTTACACACACACACACACAATGGAATTCTATGCTTCCATCAGAAAGAATGATACTGCCCCATTTGTTAGGAAATGGAAAGACTTGGAAAAGATTATATTAAGTGAAGTAAGCCAGACCCAAAGAAACATAGGTCCCTTGGTTTCTCTTACAGCAATAACTAGTGTATGTCTAGTACAAGCAGAAAAGGTCAAAAGCTATGTACATATGACCATATAAGATGATGTTAAATGAAATGAACCCCAAGATAGGGACACAGGAGGTTTTATCTTTCTTGCTGTTCTTTTAAAATGTACTTATAATGTATTATGTGATTTTTGTGTTTGTTTTGTATGTTCTTCCCCCATGGTATAACCCCTATTTTCACTGTATTTGATTCTGGTGCCCTGCATCTTGTATACAAATTTTTCTAATTTTTGGAGGGGAAGGGAAATAACAAAACACTGAAATAAGGATACAGATTGACCCATTGTAGCAATGAAATGTACAAGACAGTCTGTTGAAGATGAACTTTACAACTTGATGGGAGAGGAAGGAGTTGGGGAGGTGGGGAAGGAAGGGATAGTAGGGGAACAACAAAGGAGGGTAACAATGCTTGATAGGAAATGTACTCATTACCTTACTCTTGCGACTTTAACTCTTCTGTACAGTATGTTTACAATAAAAATATATATTAAAAAAGAATAAAATGTTGCAGACAAGAAAAAGAAAAAAAGTGGGCAGCTAGGCATGGGTGGCTATTGCCTGTATTCCTAACTACTCAGGAGGTTGAGATCTGAGGATCGTAGCTCAAAGCCAGCCCGGGCTTATCTCCCTTTAACCACCAGAAAACCAGAAGTGGCACTCTGGCTCAAGTGGTAGAGTGCTTGCCTTGAGGTGAAGAGCTGAGGGACAGTGTCCAGGCCAGATTTCAAGCCCCATGTCCAGCAAAAAAAAAAGAAAGAAAAGAAAAGAGGATAGAGGGGGGATTATTATGTTTCCTGAGTTTATTTTTAGACATCTTTAGGGTAGCTTCTCACTACTGCTGGTCGTCTCCTGCTCCTCATTGCAATAGCTTAGTGTTACTGGAGGAGATTTTCAGCAGGTCTCTTTTCAGGATCTCGATTTTAGGTCCCCTGCATCCCAAACAAAGAGAGGGGCAGTACAGTAAAGGGAAAACACATCCAGTGGAGTTTAGGCAGTTCTTCATTGGACACAAAATGTGATAGACTGTTGATTGACAGGTGAGCTTATGCAACAAATGTGTAGCTGCTTATGCCCAGGTTCTCCAGGGTGGCTGAGTGCTTGTTCCTCATTGAGACTGGGTAGTATCAAAGTTAGGTCCTGAGCATCCTGGGGCCAAAAAAGTCATTGTAAAGTCATTGTCCTTGTCCCCTCCCAACCCTAAGTTTGCATAGTAGGTGAAGGCTCTGCTTTGACAAATAGTTCTAGCCATCAGGACCTAGCTCCATTTGTTTATTGGCTCCAGGAATTTATCAGTATGTTTTTATTTGCACATTTATTTCACTGTTTAGGGGACTTTACACAGGACAGAATCTATGGACAATTCCATGGGCGAGCTTTGCAAGTGGCCCTGGTAACCATAGACAATAGTTCCGCCTGTTGTCATGGCAACCAGGGAACCTGTAATATCTGCCTGCCTCAGTAGGAGATGTAAGATACAAGCAGGGAGATAGGAGGGTCCTGCAGTCTTCCAGGCTTGAGACAACACTGGTGAGTTTGTAGGCTTGTCAATGGGAAAGTGAAAGATTTGGAGATGTCCTTTTTGCATCCAGTGATAGGATTTGATGGGAGATTTGGGATGGGCAAGTAGAAAAAAGGACACCACAGGCTGTGAACATTGATGTCTTAAGCCTGAGGAAACCACTGTGATGTGTCCACTGTTGTCTACCTGATCTTACAGTTGGGAAGCTGAGAATCAGACACATCATTCAGGATCCTAGGATACAAGAAGCTCAGGTTTAGACCTATGTTCCCACTGGCTACCTCCTCCTTCTCCTGGTCCTTTCCTGATCCTTGCAGTACACTGCTCTTCCTGTTTCCCTTTTATCTTCTTATTCTTTTATTTTACCCTTCTGTTCTGTATCTTGTTGAGGATTAGATTCCATGGGTCTTAAGGACTCTGTCTTTAATTACACAGTCCCAAAGTTAAAAATGATCAAGTAATCCATGGTTAAACATAAATTCAGGAAAAGTGAACATAACACTAATGAAGAAACACAAAAGATTCCTGGGTTTTCCACCTCCAAAATGGGCCTTCATACCCTTTCACCCAAACTGTCCAGTGTGCTTTCATTTTGATGAAATTTATTGGGATCATGGAAGGGGAGGCTATTTGTAAATCTCTGAGGTGGACATGTGTTCCTATGTCCAGTAAGTTGCATTTCCACAGATAATCTAAGAATTGGAAGTGAGATTTTTACCAGGGATGACCTTAACAAGGATTCACCCTTTATCATCCCCCTAATTTTGCTAACACTGAGGACAATCCTGGCCTTGTATCCTGTTTGCTTTTCTAGTTATACAGGTCTTTCTTGCTTATCAAAGAAATTCACTCTAGAGCATCAGAAAATGTCTGATGTTTACTTGAATCCCAAATTCTTATTTAAAGGCTGCTTGTACTTAATCAAGAATCCAACTGCAAAAAAGGCCTGACTTACTCAAGAGTTAGGACTGTGGATTTCAGACAAATCCTTGAATTTTCAAACAGTGAATTTCACATTTAAACAGTCACTTGTACAAGGATATTATTCTCAGGACAAATCCAGGCAGGCCTACAATTGCAAGGCAAAATAGGCTATGTTCGAAATGTGTTCCTTGGTTACAGGAATCTGCCCCACTGGAATAATAATGCACTTTGAGTCTAAGAAAATATTAACTACCACAGTTTCCCTCCTCATCTCACTTAAAACCTTCTGCCTGTTTGTTTGTTGCAATTTTTGGGTTTGAAACCAGTATTTCACATATGCTAGGCAAGGACTATTTACCACTGTGATATAAACCAGCCACAGAGTGGTAGCCTTGTAAATAAGTGAGTGCAAAATTATCTTTCACATTTTTTTCTTTAACCATATGTGTGGTGCTTTCTGTGGCTAAAATATTGTTCTTAATAGTTTCTTCAGGCTCGACATGTTGTTTTGTGTTAGAATGCCTGTGTAGCATGGACAAGGTACTGGGTTCAAACCCTAGTACCACAAACACAATTGCTGGATACTAACTAGTCTTCCTCCACAACACCATGAGGAGAGAAGGACATCACATAGTGTCAGCATTCAGAGATTTCATAAGCTCTGGGAAGAAATTTATTCTTGAATGGTGGCTTGGTTTCATTATGAAAAATTGGGTTTTCAAAGGTAACATTGGGTTCATTACATAATGGGCATGTCTAGCCATAACACTGTACAAAAAGACCCAGTCCTTGGAGGACAATGCCCAGAATTGGAGGTGTGGCTCGTGTGGTAGAGTACCAGCCTTGAGAAGAACAAGCTAAGTGATAGTGTAAGGCTTGAGTTCAAAGCCCTAGTACTGCTATAAAAAAGATATTCAAAAAATAAAGAAGGCAATGCCCATTATGGTTCCAGTATGCGTTCCAATTTCAGAAGCAATCGATGTCCCAGCTGATCACATCAACCTAATTTCCAGCCCAGGATTTGTGTAGATGGCAAAGTATGGAGAGTGGGGCCTGAGAAGTTCTTTGCTTATTGTCATAAGAGATCTCGACTTTCTCATGTAAGCTCACCCCTTCCCATACTCTCAGCCACCAAGACATCCTGTACTCCCTCAAAAGACCAGCATAATCCCTTCCTTAGTGTTCTCACTAAGCAACAGGTGTAGTAGTAGTAGTAGTAGTAGTAGTAAGCTCAACTTTTCTAAGTTAGGCACCATTTTGTGATCACCCCCTAGAAGGGACATTCTATTCCACCTGTACCTAGCAGTCTTCACCCAATTTGGCAACTTTGTTTCCTTCTCGACCCTTTCCACTTTGCCCACTTCTGTGCGTAAATAAACCTCCTCCTCTCCCCTACTACCAAGTGTCTGTTTACAAAGGTAATACCGGTCACCAGAAAGGGAGCCTGGATAGCAGGACGTGCACAACTAGGAGAACCTCCTCATCCCCTGTGCAGTGTGCAACGTTGGAGAGCTACTGTGTCCCCTGGCCAACCCTGGTGTGGCTTTGGCGCATCCATGGACACCTGACAGCTTTGGCAGACTTTCAGCAATGGCATTGTGATATGCCTACTATGCCTTCAATTAGGCCCACTAGGGGAGCCTACACCATGAAGATGATGGCTAGGCCTGAGCTAGGCCCGGCCATGACTTCAGCCATTACCATACGGGAGCTCTATGAGACGGAAATTTTGGCTGAGCCCGAGCCAGGTGGAGCAGAGGGCCGCCACTTTCGAGAAGGAGCTCTGGCCTTCAAGGATTACATGAGGCTCATAGCTGACCTGGATGATGAAGGTGACCAGAACAGCGTAGATGTGGTGAACAAAGACGGCGGCAGTGGCAGCTCCCGTGCCTGTGAGGTCCCTTGCGGGTGCCAGGCTCTTCCACAGCCGCAGGCCTCAGAGCCCATGCAAATGGCCACAACTCCGCAGCCCCGGCGCAAGCGAATACGCAAGTTCTTGTCTTGGCAGCTGGAGGAAATGGAAAACCTTTTCCAAGAGATTCAGTATCCTGATGCTCCCAGGAGGTCAGTGGTTGCTCTGGGTGGTATCCGACCTCCGTTGCTTGGCTCATTCCAGTGTCATTTTCCATCCCTTCACCTCTTTACTCCCAACCCCCTGGAGGTTTTGCCTTCCATGGCACTGGGCCTGGGAGGAATGCCTTGGGATGCTAAATCAGTATGTGCATGCAGGAATAGACTGGAAACACGTCTAAGAAATGACTGGCAGCCATTGCTTTTGGTTTCTTTTGCTTGTCAGAGCTGGCAAATCAAACTGAACAGTATTTACTTTCGAAACAACCTTTCTAATACAGAAATGATCAGTACAAAGTTGTTTCACATTGTGGTGAGTCAGGTTTCCAGAAGTCTCTTCATCTTGCCAATCTTAAACTTTATATGCATTAAAAATCCCTCCCCTACATACATACTTTTAACTCTCTACCCAATCCCTGACAACCACCTATTAATTCTTCATTCTCTAAATCCCCTTTTGCGGGATCTCATGATAAGAAAATCACATAAGATCTCTCCCATGTACATCATGACCATTCATGGATTTTTCTGGAGAAACATGTTACCTTTGCCTGTTTTAAAATGTGGCTCTATGGTTACTGATTCCCCAACATCATATCATATTTTGAATTTTATTCATTTAGTTATTTAACCTGAACCAAGGCTTTAATTCAATGCCTTACTCTCTTACTCAAATTTTTCATTCATAGTTGGTGCTCTACCATTTGAGCTATATCTCCAGCCTAGTTTTTACTGGTTAATTGGACATAGAGTCTCTCAGACTTTACTGTTGGAGCTGGTTTGGAACGGTGATCCTCTAGATCTCAGCTTCTTGAGTAGCTAGAATTACAAGCATGAGCTAAGAAGGCCTGGGTGATTTGCAAGTATTTTCATCCATTGTATGTTTACTTTTGAGATCTTTAGTACACAGAAGTCACTTTTGATGTAGTTGAACTTGCCCATTTATTCTCATTAACTTCATCGCTGGCCTATTCTGCACATAAACTTTTATTAGAATAATGTTTAAGGAAATGACATACTATCATATAATTTCAGTCCTGTACCATTCACATGTGCACATTTGTCTTAGAAGTTTGCATTTGTTATTATGTTGAAGTTACATCCTATGCATAGGGCGGACAAATTAGATATCATTTCATCAGTAACAGAGACCAAGAACATTTGTGGTGTTCTCTCCACAGGAAGCAACTTGCAAGAGATATAGATGTGGCCGATGCCAGAGTGAAGGTCAGTAAACCAGAAACAAGCATTTTGAAGTCATTTGATGAAATACCTGGTTCAGGATGAGGACAAATATACCCTCAGCAATTTTATGTTGGTGTGCTTTTATTGTATTTTCTATTGGCAAACAGAAATTGAATTTTGGAATGTCTCAGATGGAAAAAAAGTGTAACCAAACTTCAGTTTATCATTATTTTCCAACCAGAGGCCATGTGATTGCTTAGTGAAAAATATAAAAGAGAAAAAATCCAAAAATGTAGAAGAGAAGAGGAAAATACTAGCAGGGACAGGTGGGGTGATTGTACTGGAGGTACAGGAAGAAGGGGAGGGCATACAAAGTAGCAAGAGCCACCAGATATGATGGGGTTATGGAAATTGGTGTGGGTGGCCAGGAACTGCTCTTTGGCCTCCCTTGGCATCTGGCTCACTTTGGCCCCTGGAAGAGGACATGGCAGTGGTGGGTTCTACACGTGGATGTGAATCTGGCCACATTGTGGCTATACCACCTCCACCAGGTCCTTGTACTTCTTGGCTTCTTTCTGCTCCTCAAACCAGGGGCAGGAGAACCAATAGGAACCACTGTCAATACTGGCATTCATGGATTGTCAGGACTCTCTCAGATGAAATAATAGCATAAAATAACATGAATAAATAATAAAAAGTAAATCATTTATATATTTCTATATAAATATAAGTAATAATAAAGATGGTTTATTTCTACATGTTAGCATTTGTGACAGAAAATAGTACCAGTCTTCTTAATTTAAACACGAGTAAGTAATTGTTTTTGATAGTTATTTTCGCTCACAGGTAATTCTTGCCAAGAATTTATTCTTGCTGTTTCATGGACAATACTGAGAAATTCTTATCAACCATTATACAACAGTTTTGGATTGTTTTAGTGTATTGCATTTGGAAAGCATGGATTTACATTCATTGCTTTTCAGGTTCTAAAGTGATGAAAAGTAATGGGTGAACTTTAGATTATAAAAATTCATTTATGATTTATTTATTCATTTATTTTAAATGTTATTTTCTTGTAAAGATGCTGTACAGAGAAGCTACAGTTACATTAGTAAGGTAATGAGTACATTTCTTGTCAAGCATTGTTACAAAAGTTCATTTATGATTTTTAAAATAATTTTTAAACTAAATTTTGGTCCAATGACATTAGTTTGTACTTCATAGCTGATTTTACAGCTTCATTCTGAAATATCAATATATTGCAGAACTTTTGTGTAAAGTTCCAGCTCAACTAAATTTATTAGAGATTTTGTTCACTTCCACTACTCAACGTAAGTCTGTTCAAGAGCTTGGCACATAGTAGGTGCTCACTATGTGTCACCTGAAGGAGGAAGGTGTTAATTCTTACAGGAGTTTTTGTTGTTGTTTGTGGTGTTCAGGATAGACACTGAGACTTCACATATTCCAGCCATGTGTCCCAACACTGTACCCTAACAAAGGATTGAAGCAATGACAAAATAGTTGCCTCCTACAAGTTTAAATTGCAGGGACTTAGGAAGTTGTACAATATGTTTTCTACACTATTATATTCACTGTCCATTATACTAAATCAATGATTTTTCACTTTGATTTCAGGTTTGGTTTCAGAATAGGAGAGCCAAACATAGAAAAATTGTGAAGAGAATAATGAGAGGTCATGAGAGTGATGACTGAGACATCATCTTCTCTGTGTGGTCGGAAGAGCCCTAAAATAACTTCCTCCTCCAGGAACCAGAAGCAGATAATTTCTTTTAGTGCCTCTATACTTGGGCCACCCACACTGCCACTGTAACCATTATGTCATCTTTACTCATATTAGCAATAAAGTGGTGCACCCTCAACATTTGTGTGTGTATCTCTCTTCTTGGGTTAGTGTAAGTTGCTATGGAAGGGCCATTTAAATTCAGTGTTAAAGAAGTCTCCGGAGTCACCATCAGCAGGTCCTGCACAACACAGAAATTTCCCAAGTGCCATGGTGTTTTACACTGTCCTACACACTCTTCTCTGCCCAGCATGGCTTTATCCTCACCTCTGCACTGCCCTCTTTGGACCACAAATGTGTTTCCACACAGAGCTGAGTTGTGTCCATGCTGTCGAATTCCCTCCCAGATTGAACTCTGAAATTTCCTGAGGCTGCCAACAGGGTTCATGGAATGAGGTAGCTGACCTTTACCTAGATGCTCTAAATTCTGTTCCCTTCTGAAATTCCATTCCTTTCTGTCTCTTTCAGGAGTACAAAGGGCACTAAAATAGTCCAGTATGGTGACATCAGAATGCCTGTGTTAGGGGTGAATTTTTTATATCAAGAGGATAGAGGGGAACACATTCATGGAGACACAGAAGCTACAGGAACTCCTGATAGGAGCAATAGAGGGTGTCTTGTTTTCAACATAGGTTGGGATGCCCTTTTTCCTCTTTTACATATGCCAGATGCAGGTGAGCTTCAGGAAAAGAAAGGGCTGCTAAGTACTGAGAGACTTCTTTTGGGATAATGGTGGCTGTACTTGGAAAATAATCTGTAAAGCAATGGAATCCAAAGGGCAGTCAAGCCAGGCCACAGGCCCTACCAGTGAAGGTCAGCTATCATCAGCCATGCTGTGGGGTCTTGCTGAAGGACAGGAGTTGGCACCTGTTGCCCTGAGACCTTAGTGTGGATATCAGGCTCTCAAAGTGAGAGGAAGGAAATAAAGGCAGCACAGTTGAATAGAAACTGAGGGGTAGGGGACCTAGTGTTTTTTTAAAACATAGAAAATATAATATCAGGTATTTTTTCCTTTTCTGATTTTTTACAAAATAAGTTTTTTTATTGTGAAAATACTGTACAGAGGAGGGGTTACAGTTACATGAGCAAGGTAATAAGTACATTTCTTATCAAGCGTTGTTGCCTCATACTTTGTTTTTCCCCTACCATCCCTTCCCTCCCATCTCCACAACTACACTCCCTCCCCTGCCCCCGCCGTGCCCCTACGCCCCTCCCCCGCCAAAGTTGTAAAGTTCATTTTTTGACATAGTGTCTTGTACATTTTATTGTTGCAATGGGTCAACCTATATCCTTATTTAAACAATTTGTTTTTTCCCTTCCCTTCCCCAAATTATACCAACATCAAATACAGTGAAAACAGAGGTTATACCATGGGGGAGGGGCATACAAAGCAACAAAAAAATCACCTTATAAATATGTTAGAAACAATCGCAAGATGGCTTCATAGAATGTGTTCGGTAGTGAACTTTCTCTTTGAATTTCATTGGAGAGTTGGAGGAGTATTGGTGTGATTGTTTCTAACATATTTATAAGATGATTTCTTTGTTGCTTTGTACGTCCCTCCACAACGGTATAACCCCTGCTTTCACTATATTTGATGTTGGTATAATTTGTGGAGGGGAAGAGAAAAAACAAATCTTTTAAATAGGGAGACAGGAGGACCCATTACAACAATGGGATGCACAAGACGTTATGTCGAAAAATGAACTTTACAACTTTGGCCGGGGGTGGTAGAGGGGAAGGGGAGGAAAAGGGGGATATGGGAAGGGATGAGAAGGGGAAACAAAGGAGGAGGCAACAATGCTTGACAAGAAATGTAGTCATTACCTTGCCCATGTAATTGTAATCCCTCTGTATGGTATTTTCACAATTAAAAAAAAGAAAAGAAAAAGAAACAATCGCAAGAAAGAAAAAAAACACTTGTGTCCTTAACCTTGGGGTGCATTTTGCCTAACATCATCATATCTGACCTTTTCTACTTGTCTCAGACATATACTAGCTTTTGCAAATAAGGGAAACCATGGGACTTCTGTTTCTTTGGGCCTGGCTTACTTCACTTAATAAAAATTTTTCCAAGTCTTTCCATTTCCTAACAAATGGGGCAATGTCATTCTTTCTGATGGAGGCATAGAATTCCATTGTGTATATATACCACATTTTCTTGA